TATATACACACATGTTCTCTGCAGCTCATTGAGTGAGGACGTGTTCGGCTTTCAGAGGTTTGTTGGAGACGACACAAGCTTTGAGTTTGTTTTGTACCTAATTAGGTCAGTTTCGTTTTGTGTGGGGCTAAAAATGTGATGAATGATAAAATGCCAGAGTGGGTTTCTGGCGCGCTGCACGACTTTCTCTAAATGTTGTTCTGCCTCCGTCTCCAGCTCGTCTCTTTGTCCCGCTCTAATTTGCAGCAGCAGACCTCACATGAAATCCAAAGAGACCGGGAATAGATTGTAAAATTGCTGCCTGTGAAACACGAACCATTTGCTTAATTGACGGCTGGTTGTCACCGCGCTGTTTTCTCTCCAGGGACCTTTGACTCTCAAACAAATGAAATAACTGAAACTCAGTCGTGTGTCACTGATGTTTCTGTTCTGGGCTCGTTTACGTTCTGTCTTGTCTTTGTTTCCGCAGCTCGCCACGTGGGACTCAGTTCATGGACTCAACGGAAGTCTGAAGGAGAGTCGGATAGAGAATGGCATGCAGGGCGTCACGGTCAAGGTGGTCACTTTACTGGTGGGTGAAAAAAAGACTCTAAAATACATCACAGGATATTTAAAACCACATTAAGACACTCTCTCTCTCCCTCTCTCTCTCTCTCTCCCTCTCTCTCTCTCTGCAGGAGGACCCATTCGTCATGGTGGCAGAAAATATCCTGGGGCAGCCGAAGAGATACAAAGGTTTCTCCATCGACGTCCTGGACGCCCTCGCCAAAATCCTGGGCTTCAAATACGAGATCTACCAGGTGGGACGGACACAGAGACAAGTGTCTTCATTAATCCTGATCCAAAGCTTTTCATAGGATCAGTCACGTCGTGAGATTTTGTCCACCATGTTTGTCTCGTCTGTCATCGCCTCGTCTTGAAGCACATTCAACATATTATAAATAACAGCAGCTCTCATTAGAGGGAGCTTCAGATTGTAACGTCTCTGGTTTTACTGACTGAACTCGATGGATCTTTCTTCCAGGTGAGCGACAGTAAATACGGATCTCAGCTTCCAAACGGGTCGTGGAACGGCATGATCGGCGACCTCATCAGTAAGGTGAGACAGGAAGTAAAAGTCATGGAGGAGCAAATGTCAGTGTTTCTCTAACGTTAGCTCCAGACGTCCGACGGCTACAATCTCTCATCTGCTTCAAATACAGAGTTAAAAACCACCAAGGTCTAAAAAGTGTGAAGTTAAAATTGGACCCTGTGTCGTCTCCTCCCTCCAGAAAGCCGACCTGGCCGTGTCCGCCATCACCATCACACCTGAGAGGGAGAACATCGTCGACTTCAGCAAACGTTACCTCGACTACAGCGTCGGGATCCTGCTGCGAAAGCCCGAGGAGAAGATCAACATCTTCTCTCTCTTCGCGCCCTTTGACCTCGCCGTCTGGGCGTGCATCGCCGCAGCGATCCCTGTGGTGGGCGTGCTCATCTTCCTGCTCAACAGGCTGCAGGTGCTGAGATCGTCCGGCGGCCAGAATCCTCCACCGGGCCAGCCGGCCAACGGCGTGGGGTCGGGCACTCTGCACAGCGCCATCTGGATCGTCTACGGAGCCTTCGTGCAGCAAGGTGAGAGGAAGGATGGACGAACAGTAGAAACAGGGAGGAGGGTTCAGATCAGGTAAATTAAATTTATCCTGTTGGATCAACTTAACTTTCAGTCACAGGTTCGATGAAGCTGAATTTAAGACACAGTTCAGTCGATTGATTCTGACGAAGCAAAGAAAGTTCAGATTTTGGAGCTTTGGTTTCTTGGTGGAGACGAGTCGTAGATTGAATTTTAATTGTTGCTGCTCACAGAAGCATCACTTTCTTTTTCACATCAACGTCTCTGCAGTGATGTTGTTTCTCATAGAAACCTGAAACTGATCGAACTCGTGGAAGCTGATGTTTCAGTTTCTCGTCTCGTCTCGACGCCAGTTTCCTGTTCTCCTGCTGTGAAACATCAGCTGACGAGAGGAAAACAAAGCACAACTCTCTTTGAGAGATTCTCACGGTTTCTGATCACAGCACCAGGGAGATTATCGGCCTTGTAGAGGCGGATTTCAATTTGATTTTGGGGAGTTTTAATTTGGAGCAGTTACACGGATTACACAGCAACAGAGGAGGGAAAAATAATCACAGAAGGATTTGTAGCGAAGGAAATATTTAACAGAAAAGCAGAAACAAGGCCATAAAACTTTAAAGTGCTTAAATGAATTAGAGGGAGGTTTAGATTTCAGAGCTGCAGGAAATGTCGGTGAAATAATGAATGTGTGTGTGTGTGTGTGTGTGTGCGTGTGTGTGTGTGTGTGTGTGTGAGTGAGGACATTCACTGACATGATATCGACCTCTTTCTAAAACCTGACTCTTTATTAAAATGCACTAAAATCTTGTCTTAATCTCAAACAGCCTGAAAAACAAGATCACACACTTGTTGAAATTCTCCTCACATTCTGAAATATTATTCACTTCCTTAACGACGTCCTCTCCTTCATATATCTTCACACGTCCTCGATGTTTTAAAACGTCTTTGACAGTTTGGAAGACAAACATCCTGAAAACCTCTGGCTGTTCCTCCGACAGCTTCCTGCTGTGGAGAGTCTGTGTCCAGAGGTCGTGTGTGGAACGTGTCTGTGGTCGTAACATCTGAAAACATCTTTAGTATATATATATATAGATCCATTGTTATGATTAGGTGGTGTTACTGCTGGATCTTAAACATCCATCCATCTGAACAAGAGGTTTCTAACAGAAGAAAGATTCTCTCACACAGGGAAGCAGCTGCATCTATTATGGTCTGGCAGGTTGCCTGGGAAACCTTTTAGGCCTAACAGGTTGTCATTAGCTGCAGCTGGGCAGCCTCTGGTTGATGGAGCGCCGCTCTCACCTACTGTTTGAATGTGGCGGCAGGCGTCGTCCTGGCAACCCTTAACAGAGAGGTCGCTCAGCATCAGCCTGGAAACACTGAACCCGCTAAATGTGTGTGTGTGTGTGTGTGTGTGTGTGTAGGCGGGGACAGTGTGGTGGGCTCCGTGGCTCTGAGGATCGTCATGGGAAGCTGGTGGCTCTTCACGCTCATCGTGTGTTCTTCGTACACAGCAAACCTGGCAGCATACCTCACTGTGTCCCGCATGGACCACGCTATATGGTAAGACACACACACACACACACACACACACACACACACACACACTC